AGTGTGCAATCATACCGATTCACAAGTGTATGTACGTACGTACGTGCGTACGTACGTACGTACGTAGGTATGTATGTATGTATGTATGTATGTAGGTAGAAGGGTTTTTTGGAGTCTTATACTAAACGTACTAGCATCTTGAAACATATTGGGGCCATCGAGTTTCTGGGGCCTTGCAAAGGGGGGGGTCTAAAGAACTGTATAGATTTAGGATTCAGGGCTCTGCCAAACTGACAGGCAAGCCTGCAGAATGTGTGTTAGTCGGGAGAAGGATGCGTCCCCCAGGTTCGCTGTACGCAGCTTGCTTTTCTTGGATGGTTATATCAAGTTTGTAGAGCCCCCGAAAATGCGGTATTTCTAGGATCCAGGTATATGCTATATGCTGTGCTGGTAGGACCTGAGGAAGGTTCAGCGCTTCATAAAGGGGATGAGACACGCCTGACCTATGCGAAGCTTATTGCACTTGAGGTGGGCACCAACAAGCACCGAAACAATTTCCTGGCAAGACACATGAGCTATAGTCTAAACTCCTCAAAGGGGGATCATTATATCGGGGACGATTATAGGGGTTAGTAAGGGGGATGCTAGGAGTTTAGACTCTGGCTCACATGCCCGATCATGGCGTGCAGGGGATGTGGATTACGGGCCAAGATGTCACCACCAATGGTTTCGCCGGCGCGCTGATGGGAGGCAGGGGGCTTCACAAGACAGGAGCTATAGTCTAAACTCCATAATGGGCGGCCATTTAGGGGATTCCATTGGAGAGTATTATAGGGGTTATGAAGGGGGATACTTTAGGAGGAACCCCCACCCCGTAATAGTGGTATAATAGGAATATAATAGGACCCTAATATATTCCTTATTATCCCTCATAGTCACTATTACAGGGTGGGGGGTCCTCCTAAGGGATACTCGGAGTTTAGACTATAGCTCACCGGGTTCTTACAAGGTGCCAAAACGGGAGTTTATCAAACTATCCCTCTACAAGCTTTAAAGAGGGCCCGATGCCTGAGGTTCCTGGGGAGGGTTTAGGGGTTTGAGTTTAGGCTTTAGGGTTGTTTTGCAAAACTTCACAATGTCACGACGTAGACTATGGAAAGGGTGCGTGCATGTCACGTAGGAGTCCCACAGGCTGAGGTGTTTCTAAGGAACATTCAACTTATCCCTTAACCCTAAACCCCAGACCGCCAACCCCAAACCCCAAACCCTACATCCTATATCCTAAGGTCCTAAGCCTTCAAGCATCATAAAACCTTGCAAAGCCCTGTTTGAAAGGAGTACTTACTGCACACGGCATTCTGGGCTACGGCTTTTGGGAGCTCGTAGTCTGTGGTAGGGATGCTTGGCACGTTGTTACGGAACTTTGGTAGACACGGGTTTAGGGTTCAGGGCCTAGGGTTTAGGGCTTCGGGTTTAGGGCTTAGGGTTTAGGGCTTATATAGGGATGTGCAGGACTGTATAGAAACTATGGGGACAGTGGAAACGAATCTGGAGACTACTATTTCGGATTTAGGGCCGAAGTTTTGAATGATTTTGACAACGGACTTTTACCTCTAAACCCAAAACCCTAAACCCTTGGTGGATGTTGGCTCTATACAATTTCTACTTGTTCTGGGCTTGGGGGCTTGCCGGGTCTTGGGTTCAGGGTCTAGGGTTTGAGAGGGGCTTACAGGGGCTACGTAGGGGTGTACAGGGATATTATGCGGAGCTAGATCCCAAGAATGGGGTATCACATGGAAAAAAGAGCATGAAAATAAGAGGAAAAGAAAAAGCTAGCGTTATGTAGGGGTGATGTTTGGATTCACGGAACTTCAAGTAAATTACCGCATCACGGAGAAATAGCAAATGACATGGTTTCCTCCATAATCTTTTTTAATCTACACTGTACTTTCTGCCCAAATGGCACGGTTTTGGTTCTAGGTTTTATGGGGGTACTGTTTAGGGTTTCAAGTTTAAACCCTAAGCCCTGAGGTATTGGGTTTAGGGTTGCATGCCTAGTTGGGTTGCTGTCAGGAAACCTAATTTGAGACCGTTATTGCTACACATCCGTATTATATCAGTTGAAGATCCTTCTTGCAGCCCCTTTAGGGTTTAGTGTTGGAACCCAAGAGGACCAGAACAATCATAATTCTTTCAGCAGATGGACTTCTTGAGGGTTTCGGGTAGGGTATAGTTTTTTTTAGAGACCTTGGGTTGGTTGCACTGGAAGTGGGTATCTGTTCACATATGAGTAGTATTTTATTCGGGGATACTTGGTACCCAATATAGAGTAAGATTATATCCTCCTTTTGGGCTACGCTATTCTATATAAGGAATATAATCTTACTGGGTTAAACCCTAAACCCTATATAATCTTACTGGGTTCAACCACAAAAAAAACACTACTCATATGTCCTCAGTGTGACTTGCTAGTGAGGAATGTGCTTACCTTGGGGCCCGAAGGTGGTTCCACCTTTGGCTGTGGGAGTTTCTCAAGATGATGGGCTTCCTCTCTGTCACCCACCACATTCCTCTTCCCAGGGCCTCACACGGTTTAGGGTTTAGGGTTCCCAGGGACCCTAAAAAGCACCCAATATCTTTGAGACACAACCTTGAAATTTAATCTCTAAATCCAAAATCCCTAAAACCTGAATTCCCTGATCCCTGGATTCTAAATCCCTAAATCCCTCAACCCTTAACCCCAAACCTAAAGCCAACACCGCCCCAGGACTTGATAACAGACATGATGAGCCTCGAGCGATGATTTTGCTGTGGTTTTGGAGTCACAACTGGGTTGGCCTTTGGGGCTTAGGGTTTAGGGATTTGGGGTTTAGGGTTTTGGGGATTAAGGTTTTACTAATAGTTTTCAAAGGGCTCTAAAAGGCCAATCAAGACAACTTGCTTGACGACCTTGCCGTTTGGGCGAAGGAAGCCAATGTTTAACCTTAAACTTGGGGGTTCAAGGCAATGATAGCCCTAAACCCTAAACCCTAAGCCCTAAACGCTATATTATATAGGGCACTTTTTTAGCCAAAGTACGAAGGTCATACAGGGTGTAGGGTTTTGGGGATGAGGGTTCACGGCATTTATGATCCAATTACAAGTCTAATCAGAACCCCAATTATGAACCCTGCAAGTCCCCTAGTGTGGTGAAACCCTAAAACCCTAAACCCTAAGCCCTAAACTAAACCCTAAACCCTAAGCCCTAAACTAAACCCTAAACCCTAAGCCCTAAACTAAACCCTAAGCCTTAAACCCTAAAACCCTAAACCCTAAGCCCTAAACTAAACCCTAAGCCTTACCTTAAATTACCTTGAACCTCCAGGAAGCCTTTGAGCTTCGTTGAGTTTCTTGTAAGATGGAAGGTGGGAAGTTCCCGCTTGTTTGAACCCTAATCACCCATCACCCTGAACTCTAAACCCCAAATTCTAGAACCCAAACCCTAAACCCTAAACCCTAAATCCTCATGATTCCAAGGTTCCCAGGTTCTACCCCTAAGGTCGTAGCCCTAAAAAGCTTTACCTGACATGGTCCAATATAGTTCTTATATGAACAAACATAGTCCCTGGTGAACCCTAGACCCTAAACTAAACCCCTGGAATTCCTCCAAGAGATTTCCAAAACCCAGGGGTGCAAGCCTTGGAGGCACAACCTTGAAACCTTTGAATGATGCGTCGAGCTGGTGCATGGTATAGCCTAAAGTAGTTTAGGGTTTAGGGCTCAATTCCAAGGATCTGGGTATAGAGGGTCTGGCAGGACGCCGCCCATCAACAGTGCTTCTTTCTATCCTTGTTTTAGACTATATACTGCAATACATCATATTATAGTATATTATACTATACTACATTATATTATAGTACAGTATATTTCATTATATTATGTTATATTCATGATATTATATTATATTAATGCAGAGCTTTCCAAAACTTATGACAGTCCTTGTGATGACATTGCTGTTCTCGGTAAAACGGGGGTTCCTCCTTTTCGGAAGGCCATGTGCATTGAAAATCCAGCCGCGCTGACTTGTGGTTGCTTCAAACATATTGTAATATTATAGTATATTTTTATCACACTATATTACATTACAATATATGATACTTTACGACATCATGTTATATTATATAATACTACATTGTAATATATTATATTCTAATATAGTATTTAATACAATGTAGTATAGTATAATATGCTACATTATATTATACTAAATTATATTATGTTATATTACATTATACCATACTACATATTATACTGTATGACGTTATACTATATTATACTTCCCACCTCACACTCGATGAGGCAAGGTGTGCTTTACTGCTTTATGTTCAGAGCGATGGCATGGGTGCTGAAAGCACACATGCTCGCCGTTAAGAACATGTATGCAACTTGCTGGTGCTCAAAGGCGATCTGCGAGGCCGGTTCCCTGATTTTTTTCGATTTTTTATTATTGGTATTTGTACTACTGTCAGACGTCTTCTTTTTGACTGTTATTACTCCGTGGCTGCAGTGTATAGTGCCCTAGAAGAGAGCTTCTATTCACTCCAGCACTCCCCTTTAAGCACCAGCAAGGCAAAGGTGGTGGAAAGAGAGAAACCCTGGGGCTATAAGCCCAAAGCCCCCACATAAGATTAGGTTTTCTTGGAGGCTAGGGTTTAGGAGTTTGAAGTTTGGGGTTCAGGGTTCAGGGTTTAGAATTTTGGGGTTTAGGGGCCTAAAGTCTGGGAGTCTAGAGGTTTTGAAGAATCACATGGAGAATGATAGGGAAATCGAACGGAATGTCCCTCCCCTTAGTATTCACGCACCCCACATCGTTGATGCTGAATATTCCCAATGCTACCACTGTGATATGTCAGGGGAAGTATTTTTCCATTAAGGGGAAGGCCTTAGTTGGCCTCGTACCTTGGAATGGTGTACATGGTGACGGTTACCCGTTTACCAAGACCGCCGCATTTTGGAACCAGAGCAGAGAATGCACAGTTGAGTAACCAGATTTACAATTCCCTAGACCCTAAAACCGAATCCCCAAACCCTAATCCCTAAACCCTAATCCCTCAACCTTAAACCTTAAACCCTAAACCCGAAACCCTAAGCCCCCATCACAATGTGACCGTGAACCATTTGAACCGGCGTAGCATGCAGAAGACTCAGCCCTATCTTGGCAGGCCACAGTCCTACCCAGACCCCCCAAGACATCTAACCATTAGATTCCCTAGAATCCTATCTGAAATTAGTATATACGGGTGAGGGTCTAGGGTTTAGGGTATGGGATTATGTAAGGGTGATTATGGTTCTTTGTAGGGGATCAAATTTTAGATCCTCCCAGGGGTCTGGGTAGGCAGCAACATGTCGGTCCGTCCGCATCATCCGCCCTTGCAAGCCCTCGGGAAATCTTCGTCGGATATAGATCTGAACAAGGAGCCTGGGTTCAGGGAAGTTGAGGGAAGAGATTGTTTGTATAGGGACCCCCCCAATAATGGAGAATCAAATGGAAAAGAAAATGGAACATGAAATGGAAACTGTGGTTCTATAGGGGTTACTTGTTGCCTTTGCGCCCTTGACTGTTCGTATCATGGATTCAGCCTTAAGAATTTCCACGCTTATAATCCGGCCAGTGCGGAACCAGAATGTATCAAGCGGTGGTCAACATCTGCCAAATCATACTGTAGCTTGATCGTCCAGGGGGTTTAGGGTTCAGGATTTCAGGATTGAAATCTGATCCATCCTAAACCCTAAACTCGAGTTGGGTCCTGGAGCCTTCTTGTTCTGAAGTGGCCATGGTTACTCTAGAACTGATAGAAGAAGCATTTGGATCTAATTCTATAGCTGCAATGCTTCCACCAAACGATCAAGAGGTTCGGACACTGGGGAACGGGGATTCAATTCAGGAGGAGCAGGAAGTGCCCAACGAGTTCCCTTCATTCTCTTCAGAACCTGAAGATGCAGTTCTGGAACTCAACATGGACATGAGCTACGTCGAAATTTTGACGGAGGTTCCCTGCCTCCACCAAAGTTGCAGCAGTGAGAAGTGCCTGAACTTGCGTTACCTGTCTCCTTGTTCCAGTGTTGCACGCAAGAGCATGTCATGTGGGCCCCAAATCGTGCTTGCATGCTCAGCTTTGGGTGGAGGAGGCAGGAGTAGGAGGAGTCTTGTGAGTCAATAGTTTTCTGTGGGATCCTCAGAGTCGTTGCACAAATGAACCGTACCCTCAACCCTGAACCCTATGTTGCGGGTGAAGGCTGTGGTACGGATGCAACCTACTCGACCAGAGATTGTCCGCGCTGTGCCAGTGCACCAGGCGGGCATTTGCGGGTTTCTGCCAAAAAGGGGCCTTTTGATCCTAAACCCCAAACCCTGAGCCCTCAAGCCTAGACCCTGATGCCCCAAGTTAGAGACAAACCCAGGTGCTGCGTGGGCTGTCACCAGCATTGAGGCTTGACTAGGCTTTGGAGCAAAGGGTTTAGGGTTTAGGGTTCAGGGGCAAGTTCCCAGAAATCATATAGGATCGTATAGCGTCACACAGGATTTTCTAGGATTCTTTTTTTTTCTTAATGGGGATTCTATGTGGTTTACGGATAAAACACCATACTGGGTCAAAAGGGAGTAGGGTTTCGTGTTTAGGGATGAGGGCTTTGGTTTTCGGGGCATTAGAAACATGAAAAATGAGTGGAAACTGTTTGGTAGGGTTTCTGTATTGTGATTATGGACGGTAGGGGCCGGGGCGCGTTCAAGTACCAATTTCCTCTTGAGTTTTTTGTTGAGGTACCCCATAGCAGAAGTACAAAAGGAATCTGTTACCATGATATTGGCAATTACTCGGTGACCAAGGCCTGACGTTTCAATTTTGGGATTGGGGTTGAGGGTTTAAGGGTTCAGCCCCTAGATTTGGGGTTTGGGGTTTAGGTCTCGGGCTTGGGGGGTTTGCTCCGAAGGCCTTCACCCTACAAGATACAACATCTCCCTTTCAAGTTTCCGGTTTGAAGTGGACTGTAAGACAGGCTAAGCATGGTAATTTGTAGTGGAATGTTGTCGCCCAGATCTTTTTCCGGGTGATGCTGTGGAATTGCTGTAGCTCAGAAGACCTACGAGTGCTGAAGGACAGCGAGGTGAAGCCCTAACATATTCCCCCTAGTGAGTACAAACCCAAAACCTAAACCCGAAACCATAAACCATAAACCCTAAACCCTAAACCCTCCCCCAGCCCAGGCCCCCCTACCAGTAAGGAGAGGCAGGAAAGGTGATTTTTACAGCCTCAGCGTCCCCACGGACCGCATGGACGCCTTTTGGTCTCACAGCTGGCATGGGTCATCATGGATGAAGATTGCCACAGTGTTCCTTGGCTCTTGTAGAACAAGATTTTACATTTTTATGGATACCTGGGCCCAATATCAATAAAAAAGATCCTTTTGAATTGTATCTCAACAAGAATCCAGGTTCTTCTTGAGTAATGCAACGGCCGCCTGCACCATTAGCACGGCCGCTGCCATTCTGGCGGGAATTGCGTTCGGGCTGGGGTGGCTGCCTTCATTCGACTCACAGTCAGTGCAGTGCTTCTGGTGCATGGGAGTCGGCTGCGTAAGTTATGCGTTGGCACTGCTGTACTGGCGGTCGCGCCGCAAAGTCTTTGTCGACCGTATTTGTATATCTCAGGATGACCCGCAGCTCAAAGCAGAAGGTCTGTTTAGTTTAGGAGCCATTCTACAAAGTGCTGATGAAATGCTGGTGCTCTGGGATCCCAGCTGGGCTCGTCGATTGTGGTGTGTCTTCGAATTGGCCGCTTTTTTGTACACCCGGCCCTCAAACCTACAAAAGCCGCCGGTCAGCATTCGCCCCACCCTGCTGGGACATACCATCTTCAGTGTGTTGGTTGCGCTGCTGCTTGCGGGTTGGACATTCCATCTCTCCATGATATTCGGCTACAGCTTGCAGATGGGGGTGCTGGCCTCATTGGGCCTCTGTGGCGTCATCTTCTTTGCGATTGCCCATCTGGCCCGGGTGTACTGCCGTAACGTGACGACCTTGTGTGACCAGGTTGCCACTTTCCGTGTCGCAACTGCTAAGAGCTACTGTTGTGATGTGGATCACAAGGTATCTGGTGACGACCAGCCCATGACTCTTGGATACCAACCTTGAACTGCTTTTCATGTATGTGAGGATTGGGTCCTGTTTTGCGGGTCCAACAATAATGGTTGTAAAGGAATAAAAAGTTGCCTTCGCATTTCTGAGACACCATTTAGTTTTCTAGATATCATAAGCCCCGGACCTTAAATTTCGGACCTAGACTACACCTTAGATTTCAGACCCCAACCCCAAATCCTAAGCCGTAAACCCTAAGGCCCTAAGCTTTACATTTCAGAACTAATCCTAGATCCGAAGCCCTTAACCCCTAAACCCTAAGCCGTGAACCCTACATTTCAGACCTCCAGCCAGGATATGCGACAGGGAAATTGTACAGCGGTGTATCGTGAAGTGGTTCGGCAGTGTTCCTTACTTAGCCAATAGAAGAACTTGAACCTTTTTGGGCTTC